GGAGCAGCTCTGCAGCTCTGCAGGTGATCAGCTGCTGCTGCTGCTTGTGATTCTGGTGAGTCAAACCTGTTGTTATCTCGTGCACGATGCTTACACTATTCTATTATTTACTAGTGTCTTGTTGTTGGGGTGATGCAGAGGAGTGGTGTTTAAAATATATGATACTGTGAGTTCTTCCTCACGCTGCCTGATAAAGTGTTTCTTTTTGCGGAGGTCATTGGAGTCTGATTTGTCTCATCGTGGTTTGTTCTGTTGTCATTGCAGCCTTGACCTTATGCAGGACAAGCTTTTAATTCTGTCTGTTTGTAGCTGCAGCTGTTAGAAGGGGTGTCACTTCAGGTTCACTCTTCTTTCTTTAACCAGGTGAGCTCACACTGAGATTTCAGGTCACTGTATAATCACACCTACACATTAAATTGGTTTTATTGAGTTAAATAAAAAGGGCTAAATGAAATGTAGAGACAATTTCTGAAGGATCTTTTGATGGCGATGCCGCAATCAACCCACTGAATCCCAAAAGCCATGTTATCTTAAAAAACTCATCAAAATGTCTATCTATCAGCCAGAAAGTGTAAAACCAGCAAGACTTGTAACACTATCAACTGTCCAATGGTCCTTGAATGTATCATCTGTGACATGCAGTTCTGTCCGGAAATGGATCCAATCCAAGCTTACAATCACAATTGTCCTTCAAAACCCTTTATTCTACATGTTGCAATAAACATTCACAGAAAACACACAGCGTACACCAGATATTTTACAAAACCCAAAAATTCTGAGCTGTTCAGCATAACTCATCTCCATGACTGTGACCAGCATTCAAAAATGACGAGTTTTCAGGTGAACTGCAGACAGTGTTTTCACAGAGCAGAGAGGAGACAACTAGAGAGACTGAGAAGAACATAAAATACAGTGGATCAATAAAACAGATGCAGCCTGGCTCAGAAACAGTGAACAGAAGAGCAAGTTGATGGAAGATACATTCAGCATGGTGAAACATCTTTCTCCAGTTGATGTGCAGAGAAGAGAGAAAGAGTTGGTCGAAGTTATTATAATGCAAACAGTTCAATATCTATATAAATATAGATAATACAATGTCTGTATGAGTAACCATTTTTTTCAGAACTGCGAACACCTGTGGATACTTAGAAAGCTGTTAGACATGTTGATTCCAGGATTTGTTAAAAAAAAAAAAAAAAAAACAACAACAAAAACCGAAGAAATTCAATTTTTTTTCTTATAAAAAAAGGTATGGCATTCTAATTTTGTCATACAACACATAAGAATTCTCTTTACTTCAAGTCATGGTTGTGCTATTTCCACTGAGGTGCAGAACTTTATATTGCAGTGAAAAATGGCGTCACAGTGAAGGAAAGGAGCAAAAAACAGCCAGAAACTGTACGGAAGTCAGCAAATTATTGGGGTGTTTGTGTGTCATCGGCCGTGTGACAAACATCAACAGAGTCTGAAGACAGAACATTATGAAGCCTTTTGAGTCAAATTTGTAATTTATGAATGCTTGCTGCAAAAGTAAACTGATTTTAAGCTGCAGGAACCAATCATCCATCCATCCATTATCTATACACTGCATAATCCTCACGAGGGTTGTGGGGGGCTGGAGTCTATCCCGGCTTACTTAGGGTGAAGGCAGGGGACACCCTGGACAGGTCACCAGTCTATCACAGGGCCACACTTAGAGACACACAACCAAGCACACTCACATTCACACCTACTGACAATTTGAATCACCAATTAACTTCAACATGTTTATGGACTGTGTGGGAGGAAGCCGGAGAACCCACGCTGCACGGGGAGAACTTGCAAACTCCACGCAGAAAGATTCCGGTACCCCAGCCGGGACGCGAACCGGCAACTTTCTTGCTGCGAGGCAACAGTGCTCCACCTTGCAGCCCAGTGTCCTAATCACTTTTTCTTTTCTTTTTTTTAAAGCATTTACATAAAGGAATGACTCAACATGGCTCATGATCAAGTTCCTCCCCTTTAGGAAGGCTGACATTCAATCACATAATCAAAAAAGAAACGTTAACATTTGGTTCTCATACAGTGAGAGAACCTGCTGAATGACTTGGTTGTACAGAATTATGTTTCCTCTCCAACCAGCTCTGCTCAGAGCTTCTCACTGCTCTGAAATACCAAAAATACCTGAGATTTTACACTCGTGATGATGATGACGATGATGATGGTGATGATATCAGTTATGTAACGAGTGGACATGGCAGACATTTTGACTTGTCAGTGCAGGAAAAGCTACTCAGTGTCTCAGTGAGGAAATGGCACCAACACCTGCAACTACAGCGCAATTAAATGGAATGTGCTTGTTCTGTAAAGGTATCAAACATGCCTGGAGAGCACACACTGGGCTGTGATAAGCCACGCTGTTGACACGACAGGTTGTTGCAGGCAGCTGTGCAGCGACTTTAATCTTATATTCTCCGGCATTGCATCCACTCAGGAGCAGACAGGTTGTTGTGTTGGCATGATGTAATCAGGAGAATATTTCCATTTCTACAAACACCAAATAAAGCACAAAATACAAACAAGTACATTTTTAAGCACTACGCAAAATCGCTAGTGCATCAGATGAGAAAATATTACTGACATAAACCCATGTGATGCTTAAAGCTCTGTCAACAACAAAAATACCATTTACACCAACATCTGTGCTGTAACAACCAAACACTAATGCATCCATTTCTAGTTAGCAAAAATGAACCAACATCCAAATGACTGCACTTAAAGCAGCAAACAGAGACAGGTGAATGTAATTGTTGTGGGAGGACAAGAGCTGAACAGACAGGAGAAGGAAAGCAGACGCAGCAAAACAGTAGAAGAGACTCTAACACTGAGCTGCAAAGAAACAAGTGTACCTAGATGAGGTGACAACATAAAGAACATACTTTAGATTCTGTGAATTTATGGCTGAATGCTGAACTGCATGTTTACTTTTTTAATGGAGTGTTGAAGTCACTGTGAGTCTGTAAGCAGGAGGAGGACCAACAGCTTCAGTAGGAGGGACTCACACACACTGACATGCACTCACCTCCGCTAACCTGCACTTACACACACTAATCTGCTCTATGATACGCGAACATGCACTAACTAGCGTTAAACTGCAGCATGTGCTAACCTGCCAACATTCTGTGGGAGGTAACCGTTCCATTAAAAATCAGCATTCGCTATTTTTCCTGTTTTCTCTAATTGTAAACTGAACGTTTTTGTGTATTGGTGATTCTAAATTGTCCGTAGGTGTGAATTTGAGTGTGCTTGGTTTTCTGTGTCTCCTGTGAAGCCCTGTGATAGACGCTGACCTGTCCAGGATGAACCCTGCCATCACCCTAAATCAGCTTAAACAGACTCCAGCCCCCCACAACAGAGGAGAAAGTGATGGCGGCACGGATGCTCAGACCAAAACAATACGTTTAAATATGGAATGAATTTAGTGCATTTTTCATAAATTTCCAGATTCTCCATTTTTTATAGTCCAAGACGTAAAAAATGTAAGAAAATAGTGGAAATAATTTCCTGAAGCACAAATTAACAAACTCCAATGTTGTTTTGTTGTTGTTGTTTTTGTCTGATCAGCACTCAAAAGTTGTGGGTTAGCCCTAACCCAAGTTGTGTTTAATATCATATAAAACTGGGAAACCAGCAAATAATCAGCTTTAATAAGCTGATGCCAAATAATTCTAGGGGTTTTTTTTTCTACTTTTTTGAAATATTTTCCATTTGTTCAGTATATAAAATGTCACAAACAATAAAATAAGAACATTCATAGATAATAATCTTCATAACTGCACAAGCTGGTTTTCCAGTTTTACATAGTAAACTGTAAATGTTTGTACTTCTGAGTTCAGGTCAGGCAAGAACAAAACATTTGAATATGCAGAGGTGGGCTTCAGGGAACAACTTCACTATATCTGACATTTTATACGCTGAACAATAAGAAAACTGACAACAATCTTTTTACGTTATTATTGGTTGACCTGAATTCTCAGATATCTGTTTCCTAAAGCTGAGCTGGCTTCACAACTTTCTATGATGTTAAACTGGATGAGTGCTGGTCAGACAAAAACGAGACACTTCAATATGGGAAATGTTACTTCTTCTGCCATTTTATACACTGAGCTATAAGAAAATAAGAAAATGAATTTGGTAAAACTCTTCATAACTATCTCTTCATATTACAGACATTTCTTCAACACTGCCTACAACTCATAATTCTCCTTTTTCTTTCAGCTCCTTTCCGCCTTATTTTATTTAATTACTTATTTGTTATCATTTTTGTTTGTTTGTTTTGTTGTTACCTACTTTGTAAAGAGTTTTTGAGTATCTTGAAAAGCACTAGTATCATGTATTATTATTATTATCTTTCAACTTGTTATGTTGTTGTTTCGTTGTTTTTGTTTTTGTAATAAAAATGCTCTGGTATTAGCTTTTAAAACGTGCTAAACTCAGCACTTTCATCCTCAGACAAACACCAGACATCTGAACATGGATTTCAGGGGAAAAATTCACTATTTTCTGACATGTTGACTCTGTTCAGGACATTTGGGGTCTTTTGTATTTTTTATTCTTAAAGATTTTTTGAAATATAAAAAGAGGGACATTTGTCATGAAATTCATGACAAATACGTTGACTTATCAGAATATGTATTTAACATAGTATAAAAGTCTATAATGAATGCCAACAACTATTTTGCTCATATTCTTTCTTGGTGTCGAATGAACCCAGAAAGACCTTCTATGTATGGCAACATGACAGTCCTGAACAGGGTTAAAGACTCAGCAATACGAAAATAAATTAGCAAAATCTTTCATTATTTATTCATTTTTCTGCATTTTTAAAGCAAAATGCCAAAACTCTTGTACCGTTTAAATTAAGGTGAGTATTTGCTGGTTTCTCAGTTTTCTATGGCAGTAAACTCAACACTTTATTGTATTTAAAGGGAATTTTTTTATTCATTACAAAATTATTCAACACAGTTTTATACATATAACCTGTAGTTTCACAAGACACCCTGGTTGTTTGGGCAAGTGGAGACCTACCTCCTGTGTGTTTGTCAGACTGTGCAGCAGGCCGGCCGGTCTGAGCGCACATGCTCAGTGAGGTTATTTTTGCGCACGGAAGCTTTAAGAGCGCAGCGGCTGGAGGCAGACGGCAGCAGAGAGCGGAAAGCAGCTCAGCCAGCACCGGAGGAGGAGAGCGGAGAACGGAGAGCCGAGCGGACCGTCAGCCCGCAGATGAGCGGCCAGTGACAGCCGCAGACCCGGCTCTGCGCTGGGCACCCGGAGGGAGCGAGGCGCATGAATCTGTGCCGCACGGCTCTACTCACAACTTCGCCTCCATAGACTCTTTCATTTCTCATCTTGTTTTCTCGTTAATTCACCATGGTACTGGGCAAAGTGAGGGCCTTGGCGGTCTACTTTGACAGCCTGAATGAGAACAACCTGCCGGTGTTCTCCGGCGGAGACCTGGTGTCCGGCCGGGTGGTGGTGGAGGTGACCGGGGACGTGCGGGTGAAGAGCCTGGACATAACCGCCAGAGGAGTCGCCAAGGTCCGCTGGACGGAATCTCGGAACGCCGGGGCGAACACGGCTTACACCCAGAACTACACGGAGGAGGTGGAATACCTGCACCACTACGACACCCTGATCGGAGAGGAGAGAGGTAGGAGCCCGCAAACTTTCCTCATTACAAACTTTATTAATGCAGAGGGCGCAGTCATGTGTCAGCGCCGCACACATCCCTGACAGTGGTACTGATGCAACAGCTGATCGTCGGCGCACACATCCTCCCTGCCAAAGCACGCATGAATTATTTAACGAACCCGTTTCATAAGCGTAAATTAACGCCCCAGAGCCGCACGAAGGAGGCTTTATTTGATGTTTCTGCACACTCTGCATCCTCACATCTGCTCCATAGAAAAAAAGTTCCAATCGGCGTTTAAAACCAAAAAATCGAACCAAAATCGATAGCGGTCGATGGCGCTTCGTGTTTTTAACACAACATTAGCGTAAAAGTGATGCGCAACGAAAATGTTCATTGGTGACATCCTGAAGTAGACTAGCTCAGGCAACTCCCTTTGTTAGAAGCGGTTCAAACCTGTTCAGAAACTGCCAGAGAGGGAGGGAGGGGAGGAGGGGGAGGAGGGGAGGCAGACTGTGGAGTAATATCTGAGCTGCTGCTGCTGCTGCTGCCTCCAACACGTCCACTACTACCTGCGCTGCTCTGTTGCGTTTGTGATGCAAATGAGTGAAGGGACAGTTGGATGGAAACATGATGTAAATATGTGGCTCATCAGCCTCAGCGGCCTGAGTCCAGTCTGGACTCTGCAACAGGATTCATTTCACCATGAGGACTCCAGTCGGCTGCAGTCTGTCATTGGAGTCAAAGGTGGAGGCTTCACTGCTTCTCCACTTCCAGGACATTTTTGTTAGACATTCAGACTTGACAATGCATCAATGAATCAACGGGTTAGTTGTCAGCTATCAAATAAACCACCAACTAGTTTGATTATCAGTTGGAGTCATTTTTAATGAAAAACCCCGTAAAATGTTTCAGATTTCTGCTTCTTAAATGCAAATATGAACTATTTCACAAGTCCATTAGTCGTTTACATCATTTTAAAAGACAAATATAAAACTTTTGCTCAGTAAATGCTCTTAAATGTTTGAGAATAAACAGTTTTGAAGTATTGTTTTGACAGGACAGGATGTGGAGCAGCATCACCTTAGACTCCAGGATGCAGCAGTTTCCATCATTTTCAACAAATAGTCAATGAATCAACTTACTTGTTGGCAAATGGAGCGACGCAAATGTATCTGCATCAGAGCTGCAAATTTCACTCAATTAATAGATTAGTTCCTGATAATCAGCTCGTAGGTTTAAGTAATTGTTAAAGAAAAAAATGTAAATTGTCTTATTGCAGCTTCTTAAATGTAAATATTTTCTGGTTTCTTTCCTCCTCTATGATAGAAAAGTGAACATCTTTGGATTGTGAATAAAACAAGACCTTTGACATTCTGGGTTTTGGGTGTTGGGTCCATCAGGTTTCTGTTTCTGGAGCTTTTGTTTGCATCACACGAGCTTCGTCTGCTGATGTTATGATGTCATGTTACATGAATTGTAATAAAAGACATTAAAATGAGATAAATGTTCACATTCAGGAGCATTTAACCACAAAAGTTTTGGCTAGTTGCCTTTAAACTTGAGTAATCGATGAATCGGCTACTTGTTCCACCGCTCACCTACAGTTAAGTCACTCCTAATGCCACGGGAAATGTAGCAGTTGTTAAAAATGATGAAACTGTAACATCTTGCAGACCACGGTGGCGTCCTCATGTCTTATTTTGTCCAAGAAACAATCTGAAACTGCAAAATGTTCATTTACAAGACTATCAGAAAGATAAAAACCAACAAATTCTCATTCTCAAACATTTGAGAGCTTTGACATAAAAAAGGTTTTACATTTTTCTTTAAAAAAAATTAAAATGTAAACAATTATTTGATGGTTAAAGTCGCTGCAGGTTCATTTATGTCGTTCCATATTACAGCCAGTAAATTAGAACAAATGCAATGAGTTGAATAATGATTTAATCATGTTTTAATATTCTGGTTTTTACCACGTTTGTGCCTTGATATCCAGAGTTTTGACACCTTGGCACAGCAATAACCAGATTATTTGACACTTTGGTGCATTAATGTTGATGCTTTTACCAGCATTGTCATCGTTTCTTTGCTCTACGATGAAAACAAGTACAAATGCCTGTTACAAATGACAGGCGTCTGGTTTTGTGTGAACAACAGCAAAAAAAAAAATGTAGAGATGTTCAGTTTGCAGCAAGAAAAAGTCACATTTAAGAAGCTGGAACCAGAATTATTCAAAAATAAAAGACTAACAAGAAATTGGTTTTGAAAGTGGAAAAAAATCCACTGTGCTTCAAGTAAAAGCTGCAACTGAAAATAGTTTTTTTTGACATTTTTTGTAACAATTTATTATTTCTAATTCCCTTACAACTGAAGTGGATCATATAAAGTTTAACATGTCTAGGTTTTTAGGATTTTGTGAATGTGTTGTATGTTTAAGACTCATATATGACTTATTGAGTGCCTAGTTGTGTACCTTATCATCTGTACTTACATAGAGCTGTAAACATGTGTGCTGTTGTCAAGGGCAAATGTCTCATTTGGGACAATAAAGTATTAAAGTATCTTATTTGATAGGAAGCTCAGGAATCTGCTTCATCACTTACAATCTACAGTCGTTCTTTAGCTCACGAGAGATGACGTGACTTAATACAGAAAGAGAAAATAGTCAAACATGATGCTGATTGTGAGTTTGAATAGTTTTTATCGTAGAATTCGAATGAAACTGGACGAACGCAGCAGAAGTTTTTTTATCTTCTGGCATCATTTGAAGTGCTTGCGTGAGAGCTGCAGGTCTACCTGGAGTTCACTGTTGGAGTACAACACCCTTCCTCTCCCTGCCTCCCCCACCTCCCCCTCTCATGCCACACACCACATGGCTGTGCTAATGTGGGCAGGGGCTTGCCGAGGCTGTACCAATCAGAGCACGGCCTGCGCTTGCGTGTCACGGCGTCATCCAATGGGAGGCCGAGTTGTAATGCATGCGTTGGAGTTTCCAGCTGGAGGAAGCTGCTCAGTCTGGTTCATACCGGTCTACTCCTGCTTGCTCTGTGTTGCCGGTGACTTGACGGGCGTGCACGCTCGCACACGCACGACAACACACACACACAGTGATACACACAGTGATACACACAGTGATACACACACATGCATGCAGGCTGTTTATGACAGCACTCACGGCAAACACACACAAACAGCAGAGATGCAGGGTGAGGTGGCAGGAAGCTGAAGTTCAGCGGGGCCGACTGGAGACATTTACACAGAATTTAAAATACAAACAAGAACAGGAGAAATGAGGAAGTACACACGAGCCGCGATGTTTCTGCCACAGGGTGTGCTGCGCCTGTTAATGCCGTTAACCAACTGAAACTGAACACTTTTATTCACATTATCGCTCACTGTGGACTCATTTTCACTGCGATCGAGTCCTGAAACAGCACAACCATGACTAGAAGGACAGAGAGAACGAAGAAATGTCTTCTGTGTGGTATGACACAGTTAGAAAGACAGAAACCAAACAAAAAATTATTTGATCATGTGTTTCAAAAAACTGAAAATACCTGAATCAACATGTCCAACATTTTCCGAAGTGTCCACATGTGTTTCTTCTAAATAAACTCTTTATCCAAATAACTAAATGATATTTATCCAAAATCACCAAAAATGTGTCAAAAACAGAAACTAGACTGACTCCAAAGTTGTGTAACTCTATGGAAACCACACAACTAGAAATAGAGAGAGCTCAGAAACGTTCAGTATAACACAATTAGAATGCTTTTAATCATAAAAAACTAATCATCTATGTTTTTGACGTACTTGTGGCTTCAAACATCACTGTAAAGTTGAGCATCCTGTAAGAGAAAAAAAAGTGAGAATATTTATTCTTTTTGGCAGCTCTGGTCTTGTGATTCTCAGAACGTTTTCTGATAACAAACGTCTTTGTGCGTTTCATTCTCCCCTGACATGCCCGTAACAGTCGGACACAAGCGCCGTGAGGTGAAGCGGAGTCCGTTGTGTAACAAGACTGCGTCACAGTGTGTGTTCACAGATTGTGTTGAGAGGGTGGAGGCTCTCTGCAGGTGTGTTAGGAAACATGTTCTTTGTGTTTCAGACGAGGACTGTCCAGAGGAGGGCATGACTGTTCTGCACGCCGGCCTACACGAGTTCGCTTTCAGCTTCAACCTGCCGCAGATGTGAGTAACGAAGTACCTTCACCCATTTAATGCTACATACAAGGAAAAGAGTTCAGCTTTAGACCTGGAGTGGATGTAAAATTGATGTGGTTGCAGTTTTAAACAAAGTGTTTTTCATCCCTGAACATGTCACGTGTCTATCTCCTGTACTGATGAAGTTATGAGGCTCAGAAATGATGGGAAAAGTACATTAAAAAGCACAATATTTTCACCCACCTCTGTACTTCAAGGGTGTGTGACTGAAAATATTGTGCATAAAAAGACAAGTTATCCTGAGGAGGCCAGGTGGGAGGCTCTGAGTGATTTGAAAGTAAAAAATAAGCTCCACCTGCTGCAGCTCCAGCAGTAATTACTTAGATACTTGAGGCACATTTTGCTGATGTTGTGACTTTGAGTGAAGTAAAGGATCTGAGCGCTCAACCACAGACCACCCACGCTTTCCTAATCTCCTTCCCGTTGTTTTTCCTCCTCCGGCTGTCAGGGCTCTGGCCACGTCCTTTGAAGGGAAGCACGGCAGTGTGAGGTACTGGGTGAAGGCTGAGCTGCACCGGCCGTGGCTGCTCCCCGTCAAAGTCAAGAAGGAGTTCATTGTGTTCGAGCACATCGACATCAACACGCCGCTGCTGCTGGTATGCACATTTACTCTGATAGCACTCTGCCTGTGCAGTTAATATGAAGGTCAGACAATCAGCCCAACACAAAGTTCACAAACAAAAAGACACAAGGGTTGTGTTGCAGAAATCACATGATTTAAAATAACGATAAAATAAAATAAAAATCAAGGTATAAACAGGTAGGTGTATATTCAAAATAGTTCTACGTAAAACTGATAAAGTAAAAGTCAAAAAAGGATTTTCTGTTTCAAGTAAAGAGGGTACATAGACAGAAAGGTGGCAACAAGAGTCAGGAACTTTCTGGGTTTTGTGCTGCTGGAAACTGAGTTTACATGAGACATGTAGAATAAAGTGATTTCAATTAAATGTTATAATTTAACCTAGATTTGATGGTGATTATTTGAAAGACAAAGAATGAAAAAATGCTTCTTTTTTACAGATTGATAATTGGAATAATTTTGGCAAAGACAACATGAAATTTCTAAATAAAAAAAAAATTGTAGTTGCTGCACCAGTAGTGAGAGCAGATATATATGATCAGAATCACAATAAAAAAAACTTTATTTATCCCCGAGGGGCAATTAGGTGGGCAAGGAGCGAAACATTAAAAATGAGCAAGAGAGAGAAAAACAACACACAAAAAGGTGGGAAGGCGAAAGCAGCAGATGATGTGCAGTAGCAGGCCTGCTAGCAGTCTGAGTGCTGCTGTGGAGGTAGTAAGACAGAAGTGTTCATATAAGAGCAGAGATGTCAGCAGCAGATTATGTACAACAGTAAGTTAAAGAAAAATAACACGATTAATATTTATAAATTAAATTTAAATTTAAAAAATAAAATAAAGCTAAAAAATATCATAATACTAACAAATCTACTACTACGACTAATAATAATAATATTAATAATAATAACTTAAAAAGCAACAAGTATATTAAAAAGCAGCAATTAAAACATCAGTTTGAACAGCAGAATGTGCAGAATGGTAATACTGCACACAAAAAAAAAATTGCAGAAGATCTTCTGTTGTACAAAAAAAAAAATGAAAGTGGGCGCCACTATAGCTCACCTGGTTGAGCTAGTGTCAATGTGGAGGTTATGAGCTCGAATCCCACTCATGGCCGTTTTCTGCAGATTCTTCTCCCCCACTTTCCTGTCTCTGTCTTAACTTCACTGTCAAATAAAGGCAAAAAGGCCAAACAAATCACATTTAAAAAAAACTAAACAAAACTGTGAAAGAAGCCTTTAGCCATTTTAGTCACTTTTGAAACTTAAAGTACTTTTGGTTTGTAACACTTCTGTGCTTAAATACGAGTTTGTGTTCAGGAATATTAAAGTAGTTTAATTTGTTGTATCAGATCGACGTACGTCTTTTCTTGTGAAAAGAAAGCTAATGTTTTGTTAAACTTTGAACTTTTAACGGTCAGGAGTGGATGTGGTTTTAGTGTTGTTGCTGTGGTTAAATCAGATGCCGTGTGTTTCCAGGCCCCTCAGGCCGGTACCAAGGAGAAGACACTGTGCTGTTGGTTCTGTGCTTCGGGCCCGATCTCCCTCAGTGCCAAGATTGAGCGGAAGGGCTACACACCAGGTGAGCAGCGCCTCCTCCAAACTACTCCCGCCCTGTTTCTTCTTCTTCTTTTCTCCCTTTACTTTTCACATTTCACTCATGTTGCTTCTTCCTCAGTCTGACGGACTGATGTCTTCTCCCCTTTCTCCAAGGTGAGTCCATCCAGATCTTCGCCGAGGTGGAGAACTGTTCGTCCCGCGTCGTGGTGCCCAAGGCAGCACTCTACCAGACCCAGACCTTCTTCGCGAAGGGAAAGGGAAAGCAGATCCAGCAACTGGTGTCCAACCTGCGAGGAGATCCACTGCCGCAGGGCAAGAGCCAGAGCTGGGAGGGCAAACTGCTCAAAATACCTCCGGTGTCGCCCTCCATCCTGGACTGCCCTATCATCAGGGTGGAGTATGCCCTCGTGGTGAGTTCAGCCTGTTTCTGCATGTGGTCTCATTCAGGGACAATCACTTTTAAAGTAGTTGATTTGACTCAAAATCCATTCGTTTACTACGAAAACTTGTTTTTACAAAAAGAATACAATGAAACGCTAAAAACAAGCAATAACCTGCTATTAACAAAAGACGAACATCCAAATAGGTGACTAATATTGAACAGTACTGAAAACCAGCTCATTAAAACCTACTGCTATTGTTCAAATAACCTGGGAATAACTGTTTAATAAGCTGCTCATAACATACTAATAACCTGTTGCTCCAATAACATTCTGCACCTACTGTAATTAGCTCACAACACATTCATCATCTTGCCAATAAGACAATAAAATCTGCCAATAGCTTAGTAAATACATGCTAACAACCTTTCAACCTGCCAGAAACATCTTGAGAACTTGCACAAAACCATTCAACATGCTATTAAGTCCTAAAAATCTTTATGTGCCATGACAAACTGAAACTGCAGTCATTAGGAACTTGGCAATAATACTTGACTAATTGGCTAAAAACGTGCTAATAACTTGCTAATAACCTGGTAATATTGTGATATTAACATACTTAGAAGTGGATAATAACTGGCCTATGATATACTAATATTGTGTTTGCAGCACAGTAATAACTACCTAACTGCTTGGTAACTACTAATAGTATTCAAACTTTGTACTTGTTAATAACATACTTAAAGCAACACATACCCTGCTAATAACTTGGTAATGACATACTATTAAACTGGTAATAACCTCCCAGTAACACACTAAAAATGACGACTAGTAGTAATCTGCCAATAACTTCATATAACAAACTTAAAAACAGGTAGCAACTTTACAGTGACATGCCATTACCCATAAAGATTCATTTTGGAAAGTATGAAAGTTTTTGGCAAATTATATGTATAGTATAATTTGCCAAAAACTTTCATACCATACTAAATATACAGCTATTTATTGATCACCTGCTAATAGTACAGTTACAGCTACTGGTACCTTGTTAGTAACCCACTAAAAACCTGCTGATGACTTAATAAACCAGCAGTCCAATGATTTATCGACAACCAGCCAATAACACATAAGAAACTACTAATAACTTGAATGTCATAACCTGCTACAAACACAATCTACACTACCAGAGACCCCTCCATAGTTTGTTTTCATTGTTTTCTGCTGCAGCTTCTGTTAAAAGTAGACAGTTTTGTGTAGCCAATGCACATTGATAGAGAACAAAGGGACAGATTATGTTGTCCCATAGTGTGATACTCGGAGTAAAAATCGTGGACATAACACAGCTGAAGGCAGAGACATGTTTATGTTGATCATGCAGCCTTCAGAGTTTCTATATGAGCCACCACAGATCGTGTGTCAATGAACATACTGAATGTGATGGATGTAAACAGGCAGAACGGGCTCCACGTAACTCAACAACACATTTCTGTTTCCCGCCTGCAGGTGTACGTGGACGTTCCCGGTGGACTGAATCTGTCTCTGTCGTTGCCGTTGGTGATCGGGACCATCCCTCTTCATGCCTGCGCCACCCGCACATCCAGCATCAGCAGCAACTGCAGCAGTCTGAGTTGGCTGGGACTGCCTGTGAGGCCTGAAGGTGTGTAGTGTAAACACGGCAGCAGGCATGCATGCTTTCCTTTTTTTTCCATGTGCATGTAGAACATAACGATCTCTCACACCCATTTGTTTACTGCAGCACCGCCGAGCTACAGCGAGCTGGCAATATCAGAGGCTCACAGACGGGATTGTCTGCAAGGCTTTGATAGGTCTGACGGGGAGGGAGAGGACCAGGCATCTCTGCTAACATACATCACAGAGTTCAGATATCTGCCCCCACCACTCTACTCTGAGGTACAGTGAGTACGCACACACACACACGCACACACACACACACACACGCACACAGAGTCATGTTTCCAGACGACATTTAACTGACTTAACCTAACTTTACCCTGATCCTAAACCATGTCCTCGCCAACCTCTCCAAACAGATTAATGTCCCAACACGAGTAATACAAGTTTACACAGACACACACACACACACACACACAAAAAGAGTCCTACCAGTAAAATATACAAAATGTCTTGTTTAAATGCAATTTAAAAGATCACCGTAATGACAAAAAATATAGTAATAATCAAAAAACAATACCCAAAAACATTAAAATATGTTGTCAAGTGCAATAAAATATATGCAACATGTCATGTTTGGATGCAATAAAAGACATAAATGAAAATAACATAAATATAATAACCTGAAATAAAACTCTAAAACAACTAAACACATTCAGACTCAACAAAAAAATATATAAAATATCTTTTCAAGATGCAGTTACAATAAAATCACCAAAAATAACAAAAACGCAAATACAAAGCATGCACTATATTATATTAAGATGTTTTTGTTTTTTTTTAATCAAGAAAAATAACTGAAACATAGGCAGTCAAAAAATAATGAGAACAACTAATTTTCTTATTAAGGCTTAATAAAAAAATCTAAAAAAAATCTTACAATTTATTTAAATACATATAAAATACATTTTAAAAATGCAATAAAATATGCAAAATATTACCTTAAAACAGAATAAATCATATGCAACACATCTTTTAGAGATATTTTATTACCAGTAATTATTCAGTTGCATTTTAGTAGATTTTTCATTGCGTCAATAAAATATAGTAATGTAATAAAGAGTTACATTTTTTTTTGCTTTTTATTGCTGTATCATCCTTTATTTGTATTTTTTGTTAACTACTCATCTCTTATTTTGTCTTATTCAGTTGTTTTAATGTGCATTAGTCTCTAAATCTGTTTTTCACGTCCTATGTTTTGTCTGTCACTGATAAAACACAGCATCTGAGTTGTCTGAAGAGTTTGCCTCCATCAGCAACCTGTAAACATGCAGCTCTGTCTCCCCCCAGGTCGACCCTTACCCCGACTCGGTGGAGGTGTGCGGGGCAGCGGACGTCAGGAGACCCGACATGTGTCCGTCCCGCTGAGCGACTTCTGCTCAAACAAAGACATCGTCGCCCTCAGCTGCATAACCAGCTTCTCACCAGATTGTAAAAGACCACAAATAATCCGGCTGGAGCCTCTTCGACCGAGGAAGAGTCCGCCAGCAGAGCATTTGGTGACCATGGACCAGGGATTTTGAGCCACGCTGAATCCTCCATATCCTGTGCTCAAGACGAGGCAGAAGCAAACATTCTCTGATGCCGCTGACAGAACTCACTGCTGGTGGCCAGAAGAAGCCTCCTCCTGCCTCACAGTAAAGTTTGCACATGCCGTAATTACTGTTTTTCTATCAGTGGTTTTATATTCTGCAGATTGCCGCAGGCCTATATGATAGAGTAGATTCTGTCCACAGATGTAAACACAGATATTGTGCTCTGAATGGCTTATTTACAGGACAAAAGCTATCTTCAGCTAAATGATAGTTTGAGCTCAGTCATCAGACTTCAGGTGGTCTCTCTCTCTCTCTCTCTCTCTCTCTCTCTCTCTCTCTCTCTCTCTCTCTCTATCTCTATCTCTCTCTCTCTCTTTGAGAACAAAGCTAAAAAGTAAAAAAAATAACACAAAAAAAAACACGACGTTTCTGATGACAAACTGCATCAACGACCACCTCGAGCGCAAAAAAAGTAAAGCTCAAATTGTGTGTGAATGTGTGTGTGAGAGAGACAGCGAGCGTGTGTGGATTTAAATGACCAGGTGTAGAGACAAAGCACAACTCTGACCAACCGAGATAAAGTACCGCAAGTCGCCTGTTGGTTTCCGCTCTGAACTGAAGCTCCTCTTTGCTGTAGATTTTTCCAGAACGTGGATGCTAAGAAGCTTCGCAGACACAAAGGCAAGGCGTTAAAGATTAATGTTTACAGATGAATATATCAAATTGAGAATGTTACTCAAACATGACTTCTTCCACCTAAAACTTCAAATTACCAAGTGCAATATATTTTTGTATTTGTGATTTTTTTGCACTAATTTTTCATATACTCTGTTGCTGTTTATTCCATTTCTGTGCATTATATATTATTGTCATGATCTTATTGCTGTCATGATCAACTTTTGATAAAAATAAAGTTTATTTTATAAAATAATGAGGCAACTCGCAGTATTTATTTTATTTTTCTTAATATCTGTTGCTGTGACAACCAGCAAACCAGCAGTGGGTCTCAGTCAAATCTAAAGTCACTCACATTATGCATCTATTTTTAGATTCAGTGTGACTTGAACTTTCGGATAGTATCATTATCTCCCTTGTACTGCACATAAACACATCCATAAATCTGCCTAAGTATCCTGAGGGAAAGGGGCTCCTCATGACTGCAGAACTTGCCTGAGAATATTCACAATTTTAGGTTTTCCTCAGAATCTAAATAGTGCAGCCATGGTTGTCTGTGCATTCATGGCTAATTCAGCAGTTTTATTGGTGTCAGTGTGGTCGGATGTAAAGTAAATGTGGTGTATTTACTAACAGGAGAATGAATCAGAAAATCTGACTTCTACCAGATCCATGACTCATTCAAATTCGATGACACAGACACCAAACACACATTTTTACATTCAATATCAGATCTAATCAAATGGGGGAAAAAAAACATTGCTCATATAGCGAATCGTCCCATTTATACGTTTTATTCAGTGTCACAACAATTTTATTTGTATAGCGCAGTTTACAACATATGCCATCCCACAGTGCTTAACATCGTAAGGTTTATACCAACAATCTAAAGTTCTCTTTGGACTCCCTCTGAGCCAGCGGTTGGGACGGGGGGCAAAACATCTCCTGAAGAACCAGGCTCACGAAAGACGGCCATCCGCCTCGACTGGTTGGGGTGAGAGTGGGGATGAGAGGGTGGGGATAGTTGGACAGCAGATGGAGAGCAAGCAATAGAACAGAAAAATAAATATTTTGGGGGTCGGTGAGGCCAGTGGCTGCAGATTAGAGACATGAAGCTCCGGATCCAGAGGCGTCCACAGGGACAACAAGCACAGGACCTCAGGGGAACAACAATCCAGTCCCGGTCGTCTGTACATTCGTGGGTTTGTTACCAACAGGAGCTGCTAACGACTAATTAGGCTACTTTTAATGACACCAATTTGCTCAAATGTAAACTAGGTCAAGGCTTAATTACTTGGAGTCAGAGCGTAACCTACAACTCAATGAATTTATTGCAACTTAATCAAAAATCAGGATTTTTCTTAAACTCAGTCAAATCTGAATACACAGACATCAAACTCATATTTTCACACTCAACGTGACTCACAGCCTCTATCCATCCATCCATCCATCCATCCATCCATTATCTATACACCACTTAATCCTCACTAGGGTGGGCTGGAGTCTATCCCAGCTGACTCGGGTTGAAGGCAGGGGACACCCTGGACAGGTCACCAGTCTATCACAGGGCTACACCTACGAGACAGACAACCAAGCACACTCACATTCACACCTACGGACAATTTAGCCTCAACACAGGGAGAACATGCAAACTCCACGCAGAAAGATGCCAGTCATCCTCATCGGGACATGAACCGGGGATCTTCTAGCAATGGTGCTAACTGCTGTGCAGTCCTCACAGCCTCTAATGGTCAAAATAATCCAGTGACAGTTTTATGTGCATCTATGGGAACATTGTAAATAAAGTAAATAATTTAATGGTACCACTGTGCTCTAATATAAACTACACTGGGTCTAATGAACAGGGCTCAGAGTGTGGACAATGACACCAAAATAAATGAACAATCAGATTACTTCTCAGAGCCAAAACTCAGTCACACCTAAACAAACAAACAAACAAACAACATCTGCATATTTTTAGTCCCTGTGTTCCAGTTACACATTCTGACAATATCATTATCTCTCAAATCATGTCCATAAACTATTTTAAACATCTTGTAAAAATGCTTGTTTTCACTGCAGAACTTGCCTGAGAATCATCACATTTTTATGTTCAAACAAGACAAAGATGATCTGTACAACAATGGGTGCTTTGCAAACACCACCTGCTAACAGCTAATTCAGCATCTTCTAATGGTGCTGACTAATACAGGCCTAAATAACAGGACGAACTCATCACTCAGAGCGTTGGGAGAACTGAAGACCATAAAACGGAAAAATGTTCCTACCGCGTAGAAATAAAACCGCTGTGCCGAGGCATCTGGTTTGCACTGGGAGGTGTGATTGGCTGCAGGAGCTGCTCCTTCAGCCTGATTCCTGCCTCCAGACGGCTGCAGGAACAGCTAACCAGATGTAGGACAGGGCTCACGTGAGCTGCTGACCTAATTCCCTACTGCAGACTGGCAAACGGCATGAATAGAAACTAGCTTTTAGAGTAAAGCTATTTTCATACTAGCTGTTTCATAACTTAAAGCTTCCAGTAGTAACGATGTGGGATGTTCTCCCCTCAGTCGGTCAGAAGTTACAGATTGTAGACTCACGTGGCAGCACACAGATACACCAAACATGTGGAAGTTAAGAGGACAAACAGTGATTTGTCGTTTGTGTAATGGAGCAAGGAATCCTCTGGTAAACACCTTATAAACATTCAGGCAAGAATTTGTGTGTCTTTGTGCCATCTTATGTCTTTATGGTAGGTTTTTGTGTCTTTCTTGACATTATGTGTCAATGTGATCATTTTCTGTCTTTCTCTCTTCTCATTTTGACTCTTTTTGGTCATTTTGCCTTTATTTGGTTGTATGCATTAATCTGTATTACACTTTGTGTGTCTTTGTGGTTATTTTGTGTCTCTTTGTGGACATTTTGGGTCTTCTTGTCTTTTTGTCGTTGTGGCCAGCGTCTGTCTCTTTGTGTTGTATTAATACTTTCACTGGAGTTGATTTGACGATAACTTTGATAATTTATTCATAAGTTAAGTTTTTTTTTTTTTTTTAATGTAGTAAAAATGTCAGATTTTTTATGATGTCAAACTCAAAATATTGCATTTTCAACTGGTGGTCAGACAAAACAAAGCAAACTGAATATGCTGTTAGAGAGACTGAACAGTTGCTGATGGTTTATTACCAGTGATTTTTCTTAGTGACAAACATGAACACATTATGCTTTCTTCTTGTAATGCCGTGTTGAACCCGTGTTATCGGTTGTTTCCTCCAACATTCAGAGGTTTATTTCATGTCTCTTTGTAGTTGTTTTGTGGTCATGTTTGTGACTGTGTGGTCATTTTGTATCTCTTTGTGCTTTCTATTCTGTGCCAGTGTGGTTGTGTGTCTCTGCGGTCAGTTTGTGTCAGTGTGGTTGTTCTGTCTCAAACATTTTGTGGTGGTTCTAGCTGCTAGTTTTGTTTCTCTTTGTGGTCATTACACACGTATTTGGATTTAAAGAACACTGTCACATCTTATTCGCCAGGAAGGATTATTTCTTTATGACATCGGCACTGCAGCTGATATGAGCACCTGCTGCATCAACAACATGGATTTAGGGTTAGTGTAGTTGTATGTTAAATCCTTTCAGTTGCATTTTCTTGTTGCAAGTTTTTGATGAAGACAGAAACAGAAATGTACACACGTAGGTTCTTGGCAGAAAATAACCTTTAATTCCATTTTATTTGTATATTGCAGTTTGCAACATATGTCATCACATAGTGCTTAAGACCTTCTCATGTATTAGGCAATTTGATCACCAACCAAGTGTGGCCAAACAATGTCAAGTTTCACTTTTGTGCCTCAGCACCGTACTATTATCTGGCATCTTATGCAATGAACAGTTATCTGATTTATTAGAATAAACAACTGTCACACCTATTGGTAATTAAAGTAATTGTTGGTTTTCTGTCTTAGAGTTTTTCTGTGATTAAAAAAATACCTCCTCTACTTTGTAGTAAAGGCACATATGCAATATTTGTTAAATATTTTCCATCAGTTTAAACCAAACATGTTTTATTCATTGATAAATTAATCATTCTTGAATGAACATTTTCGCATTTCTATTTTATTTTTTAAAGTAAGTTTAATTATATAGAAATCTTTATCTGTCCACTATAATGTAGCTATTTGAATTTACTTGCGTATTGTTGGCTGCTGACTTTCCACTTTGGTTCGTTTCTTGACACCGTCAGTAAACTGTGAGGCTGCCTTGCTGTTGCTGTTTCTTCATTGAGCTTCACTGCTGCTAATGAACTTGTGACGCACATAAATTGTTGGCATTCGTGGCTCGTGATGTTGTGTTAGCAGCTGCTCAGATTGCTCTTATGCTGATGAATCTGTGTATTATTTGCGTTTGTAGCATTTAAAATCTTAAGTTCATGTGTCAGTTCAGTGGATTTTGTGTAGTTTTTTAAAATATGTTGGTGAAAATTAATTTGGTTTTGAGCATTTTCTCTGATGATGGACTTTTTGTATTAATTAACTTTACTCTGTCATTATGATTTAATCTTTTGTTTGTTTTATTTGCTTCTCTGTAGTTATTGGAGAGGTGCGGCACACACAGTATGTGAACATGTGTTTTTGTACATGGATCAGAACGGTGCATCAGGCTCTGTTGTTTTTTCAGCTCTAATGCGCTTCATCTTAATACTTTCTGAGCAGACAGCAGCTGTTTTATTTGAGGGATTATCTCTCAGCAGACTTGGATGCTCAGATTCATTAAGAGTTCTCTCAAACTGCAGATGAATGTGACTGTGTAACCATTTCATCACTGCCATGGCTGAAATATTTTTTACCGTTTACTGTAGCACAATTATTTGACAGATTAGAGTTTCCTTCCAAATGTAAAACTACTTAAAAGCAAATTTCAATAAAAGCACTCTAAGAAAATACAAATGATTTCACCTGTCCATCCAACATGTGAAGATGAGATTGTTTAAAATTTTTTTCATTTTATTTACATTATTGATCCCACAAAATGAAATTCAGATGAAAAATGAGCAAACTCCAATCTGTCTGTCACAATGAACAACCCGTTACATCCTTTGGTAATGGAGCCTCTTTGACCTCCGTCCTTTTGGTTTCTGTGCAGGTCTCCGGGGGCACGCTAGTCTGTAGCCGACTTATCGAAAGCCAGAAAGTATTTTAATGCCAAGTACATTTTCACATACAAGTAAATTACCTTTTGTGACAGCCAGTGTTAAAAACAGTGTCA